CCTCGGGCAGGGCCAAAACTCCGCCCCCTCGTGCTCGGGCTGCTGGCTCCGCCCCTCTCGGGCATGGCCCAATCCCCGCCCCCTCGGGCAGGGCCCAACCTCCGCCCCTTCGTGCTCGGGCTGCTGGCTCCGCCCCTCTCGGGCATGGCCCAATCCCCGCCCCCTCGGGCAGGGCCCAACCTCCGCCCCCCTCAGACACTGGTCGCTGGCCCCGCCCCTCGCGCTCGGGCTCCAGTCTCCGCCCCCGCGGGCAGGGCCGCCCGCCCCGCCCCCCTCGGGCGCGCACCGCCCCGCCCCCACCCCGCGGGTCGCACTGCCTGGGCCGCCCCCCGCGCGACAGCGGCGGGTCCTGGGGGACGCGGGGACGCCGGGCGCCCGCTGTGAGTCTGCCGGCCGGTCTGACGAGGGCCGGCGAGGGCGCCAGCCTGCGGTCACGGCGCTGGGGACAGGGAGGCCGGCTGGCCCCGCCCCGCCTCTGCCCGCCCAGGCCGGGGCACGACAGGCCTCGGAGGGTCGCCGTGTGCTCCTGAGGCCGGCACGCCCCGCTCTGACCCAGGGGTGGCCCGTCCTGTCCCGCGGGGTGGCCCGTCGGGGGCCTGGCCAGGCGGCGCCGCCTCAGGTGGGCAGGCGGCTCCTCCCGGCGCAGGAGCCTCCGACCAGCTCACCCACGGTGACCCGCGGTGACCCTCCACACTGACCCCGCGGTGACCCCCGCCCACACTGACACCGCGGTGACCCCCGCCCACACTGACCCCGCGGTGACCTGCACCTGGGCCCTGGTCTATACACGCCCGCTCAGCCTCCCCTGCCTGTCCCTGCCTGCTAACCCTAACCCTGCCTGTCCCCTGCCTCCTAACCCTGCATGTCCCCTGCCTGCTAACCCTAACCCTGCCTGTCCCTGCCTGCTAACCCTAACCCTGCCTGTCCCTGCCTCCTAACCCTGCCAGTCCCTGCCTCCTAACCCTAACCATGCTTGACTCTGCCTCCTAACCCTGCCAGTCCCCTGCCTGCTAACCCTAAACCTGCCTGTCCTCTGCCTGCTAACCCTAACCCTGCCTGTCCCCTGCCTCCTAACCCTAACCCTGCCTGTCCCCTGCCTGCTAACCCTAACCCTGCCTGTCCCCTACCTGCTAACACTGCCTGTCCCCTATCTCCTAACCCTAACCCTGCCTGTCCCCTGCCTCCTAACCCTAACCCTGCCTGTCCCTGCCTCCTAACACTAACCCTGCCTGTACCCTGCCTCCTAACCCTAACCCTGCCAGGCAGGGTTAGGGTTAGCAGGCAGGGGACAGGCAGGGTTAGGCTAACCCTAACCCTGCCTGTCCCTGCCTGCTAACCCTAACCCTGCCTGTCCCTGCCTCCTAACCCTGCCAGTCCCTGCCTCCTAACCCTAACCATGCTTGACTCTGCCTCCTAACCCTGCCAGTCCCCTGCCTGCTAACCCTAACCCTGCCTGTCCCCTGCCTGCTAACCCTAACCCTGCTTGGCCAGTGCCTGTGTCACCCGCTGCCTCCCCGCCCAGACCCCTGGGGACGGGGCCAGCCTGGCCTCCAGAGAGGGGCGCAGGGCCCGCAGGGAGGCCGGAGGCGCTGACTGTGCCCGGTCCGGGCGGAGTTCTCCAGCTCCCATGGTTTCCCTGCACCTGGTCCAGGGTCTGCCCCCCATCCCCGTGTCTCAGCCGCACCAGCCGCAGGGCCTCCTGGGGACACCTGCCCTCCCGTGGGGACAGGCCAGTCACACTGTCTCTCCCTGCCTCCCCTGCAGCCTCACTCAGGCCTGGGCAGCCCACCCTCCTCCCTCCTCTCATCTCCCTGCTCCTCCCTCCTCTTACCCCTGCTCTTTCCTCCTCCCCCCTCAACCCACTTTCCTCCTCCCTGCCCCCAGCCTCACTCAGGCCTGGTCCGCTCCCCCTGTCCTCCCCCTACCCTCCCCCTGCCTGCACTATACCCCCTCGGTGCCCCTCCCCCCTCCCCCCACCTGTCCTAAACTACTCGGCGCCCCTCCCCCACCCCCAGGAGGTTAGGGTTAGGGTTACAGACACGCTGCGCCCTGCTGTGACGTGGCCACTGTCCCCAGGTGTGGCCGGCCCGTGTGGCCCCTCAGCGGGTGTGGCCGGCCCGTGTGGCCCGCCAGCGGTGTGGCCGTTGCGTGGGCCGTCGAGGGCCGAGGGCCCTGCGCGTGGGGCTGGGGTGTCGCAGGTGCTGGGCTGAGCGGGTGCGGGCCGGCTCGGCACTTCCGAGCGGAGGGCTCTCTTGTCCCCAAAGTCCCGCGACCCTGTGACCCCGCGTCAGTTGGGGTGCAGCGCCCTGCAGCGTGCAGATGGAGACCTTGTCGTTTACGGGTCCTGGGGTGCCCAGCCTGGCCGGAGGCCCCACACGGGTGTCTGGGGGGGTTGGGGAGCAGGAGAGAGACGGGCCGGGGCCGACCCTCTGTGGGGTCCGGGGGTCACCCAAAGCGGAGTGTCACCGTGCGCATCTCATTGGGGTTCACAGCCAGACGGCAGGAGCCCCGTGGGTGCTGTGACCACCAGGGGGTCCCCGTGGCTGCAGAGCCCGGGGCTGGGGGCGCGGGGGTCAGCAGGCTTCGTGCAGCCGTCTGCGGCGGTGGAGCACCCCGACAGCCCACGGGGGTGACGGCCGGACAGTGGGCTGTGTGAGGGTGGCCCAGCCCTTTCCTGGGGAGAGAAACCCCAGCGAGCGGCACTCACTCACAGGGGATACCGAGGCACCCGCAGTCCCCACCCTGCCTGACCTAGGCACGGGGCAGGGCCCCCCCAAGAGCAGATTCGGGGGGCAGAGGCCGGGGGCGACCCCCAGAGGCAGGACTGCTGAGACATGGGCACGGCCATTTCCAACGTCAGCCTGCCGCCTGCCCCACACTGGGGACCCTCAAAGCCTGGCCTGACCCCGGCGGCCACGGGCAGAGGGCGGAACCTTCCGGACCGCAGGACTGGTGGCCGCCCCTGGGACTGGCTCAGGGGACGGCCGGTGGGCACCAGGACAGGGACGTGCGGCTCTTTCAGGCCGACACCCTCCACTCTTCACTTGAGGCATGCAAGCAGGGGCTGGGGGGCTGTGGAGCCGCGAATTCGCTAGCCACGAGTGTAATCCTCCCAGAGGACACCACTGCGACGCTGTCCCCTGCCTGTGGCTCTCCCTGCGGTTCCGGCAGAATGAGCAGGCTGTGATCCGGAGGGGAGACCACACCAGGCCTCACACTTGGGACTTAAGGTTGAGGCCACAGTGACTGACCAGCAGATTTCTCACCAGCTCCTGTGCTTTCCTCATCTTGTTCTCTTAGGGTTTGGCCAACTTAAACTGTCTGTGGCTGACACTGCCGTACCCTAACACTAATCCTAACCCTAGCCCACTACCCCTAACCCCCTAAACCCCGAACCAAACACTATTCCTAACCCAAACCCCATAACCGGAAACCCAGACCCTAACACTAATCCTAGTCCTAAACCCCTAACCCCGTAACCTAACACTAATCCTAACCCTAATCCCCTAACCCTAACACTAATCCTAAACCTAGCCCCCTACCCCTAACCCCCTAAACCCCGAACCAAACACTATTCCTAACC